AAAATTTGACCCAACTTTACAGTGCATTTAATTTTATAATTACTTCTATTGTCTTTGAAATATGGTTAAAGTGAATTTTGCAATTTATTACATTTAAAATATATTAAATTGCAATAACACACTACAGATAAAATTATAATCAACTACTTTGTGATTTAATATATTTAGTCAACCCATCAAAATAAGCATCATTCTTTAAATTTATATTAAAACATAGGGCTTTAAAATGTACTTAAAAGTAATGGCATTGCATATTTAATACAATTTGGCGCACATTATACAAAGGAATTCATTAAGTCTCATCCTCTGGCCAGAGGTTATGATCTGCTGCTGCTGTGCAGTGATTTAGACTGATTTTAGAATGATTTTTAGCTGTATACTGACCAATCAGCATCAAGACCAGAACTAAATAACCTGCAACTCTATAGCTGATTCTAACTCACCTTGGCATCTGAACGTGACCTTTTCACCCTGCACAACCTCTTGGCTCTCAGGCTGGGATTCAAAACTGGGTGGAGTTTCTAGAAAGTCTGTTTTGCTCTCCTTGGTTTCCTGGTGAACGTCTCTGCTCGACTCCCGCTGTGATGCTTCAGGAATCTCTTCTGGAGCTCTGAATGAATCCCAAGCTCTTCTGATGCCATGCGACTCTTTCTTTACAATGTTCTGACTTCTTTCCTTCACAAAGTGTGATGTCTTTTGACCAGCTGCTGATCTTCCATCTGTGGACTTTCTGATAGTTTGTGAGGATGGTGAAGATGTTATTTTCGGTGCCTCTGTTCTGGTCACAGAATGAACACTGGCTACAGTAGCAGTGGACAGCGGTGCGCTTGTCTCTGCGGTTGCAGTTCGGATGGATGTGCTAGACGTTTTCTGTTCAGTGTCCAGACCGTTGGTGCTGTGCTCGACCACAGATTGTGTAGAGAGATCTTGAGATGGTTTGGGCATGCTATGGAAAGAAAGATCATGAACAGTCAAGTGAACAATCATTGCTGACTGTAAAGATGCACTAGAGCTAGGGGAGTTTTCAAACTGGGGTCTGGGGACCATCAGAGGTGCTTGGGGTATGTGGAAATGTTTACAGAATAAATAAATAAATATAATAAAGTGATTAAAACAAACAAGCAAATACACAAGTAAATAAATATATAAATAGAGTACTATAACAGAACAATACAGTACTATAATTACTAGGGGAACACCTCATTTAATAGAATCTAAATATTTTCCATATAATTTGGGTCTTTACTCAATAAACTATATAGATGACTTTTTTAATTTTAGGATCGGGTCACTAACACGAGATTTATCATATGTGACCCTGGAGCACAAAAGCAGTCTTAAGTCGCTGGGGTATATTTGTAGCAATAGCCAAAAATACATTGTATGGGTCAAAATTATTGATTTTTCTTTTATGCCAAAAATCATTAGGATATTAATTAAATATCATGTTCCATGAAGATATTTTGTACATTTCCTACTGTAAATATATTAAAACTTAATTTTTGATTAGTAATATGCATTGCTAAGAACTTCATTTGGACAACTTTAAAGGTGATTTTCTCAATATTTCGTTTTTTTTTGCACCCTCAGATTCCAGATTTTCAAATAGTTGTATCTCAGCCAAATATTGTCCTATCCTAACAAACCATACATAAATGGAAAGCTTATTTCATCAGTTTTGTGGTCAAGGGTCACATATCTGGTGGTTATTTCATGAATCATTTCAAAGATTGAAAATCCCTGCTCTAGAGTGAATCGCTCTTAAGGTCGTACAGGCTGCACATGAGATAAAAAAATTAAATAAAATAAAAATAATAAACATTACAAGAAGAAATTATATTTTGCATACAGAAAGAATTTTAATGATAATTAAGAACCTTGAAATTTGCCCAACAAGTTGATGTCAGTTATATGACTCAACATCAATAGATTACATAAAATGTAGACATTAGTGCTGTCAAACGATTAATCGCGATTAATCGCATCCAAAATAAAAGTTGTTGTTGTTTACATAATATGTTTCTGTACTGTGTATATTTATTATGTATATATAAATACACACACATACATGTATATATTTATGTTCATATAATTAATATTATATATAAATATATTTAATATGTAAATATAACATATTTTTCTTAAACATACATGCATGTGTGTGTATATTTATATATACATCATAAATATACACAGTACACACTCGTATATTATGTAAACAACAACAACTTTTATTTTGAATGCGATTAATCACGGTTAATCGTTTGACAGCACTAATAGACAGAATATTTTTGAAATATTTATCAGAAATACAGTTCATTTCTTTAGACTTTAAATGAAAAAAATACTGTGTAAATTCTGTCTTGTCTTTTAAATTTGGTATTTTGTTGTCACTTTATAACGGCAAGCTGTAAATAAAAGGACTAAATAAAAGCTTCAGATGCCTCACCTTATACCACTGCACCAGTGGCTGGGGTCGTCCCGTGATCTTGGCTGAGAATTTGCCGCTCTGTCCCACTTTGAGATACAGGCGAGAAGGTTTAGCCACAAACTTTGGGGGGCTTTCACCCCAGATACTGGGTCTGTTCTCTACTGCAGGAACACCCAGAGATCCACTGCCGACAGAAGAGAGAAGACATGAGTAACACTAGTAATTCAGAAGACTAAACCCAGGAATACAAATGTATTACATTAACCCCTTAACTGTCACCCCCCATTTTTTAAAATAGGCATGCAGGTGCACTATCCAAACTTAAATTGTTGTAATTTATGAACACTTTGGAATACAGACATAAGGTTGGTCTCTT